ACCACCTTTTTACAAACTATAATGAATCTTGGGGTAGTTGTGTCCAGGGTAAAGTAAGATTACTTGACTCTGTAGTTAGAATATTTGCTTATACTTGCATGGGTTAATTTTGAAACTTTAGAGAGAATGAAATATGTATTTATACATTGGCTCTATGGCTTATTTCAATAACTATTCATAATTGCTAATTGCTAAAGAAACAAGAGAGTCTTTGGAGTTTTGTTTTACAAACACAAACATATACATACATATACAGGTATTATATGAACCATAAGTCTTTTATACTTGTAGATTACATTACATATAAATAAACAACTGTATTTTAGTATCACATTTTTTCTACATTAAGTAATCTAGTATAAATTATTTCAGCTCTTTGGAGAAAATATGTTTTATATCCAAATGACAATCCTGTCATGAGCATTTCTCTCTCTCTCTTTTTCTCTCCCCCCCACCTCCCCATTTAGGAAGGCGCACAACCATAGCTGAGATAATGAGTAAGGCAGAAATGTGGCTCATTCAGTCCTACTGGGATCTGGAGTTTCCTCGCCCGACCTTACCAAATGTTGACTTTGTTGGAGGACTTCACTGCAGACCTGCCAAACCCTTGACTAAGGTGTATATACTCCTTCTAGTTCTGTTTTGTTAGATTTCCTTGTTAGTGAAAGTGGTACTATACAGTTTGTTCTGTTTTCCTCCTGAGAGAGATATAAAGGAAGTGGAGTTAAGTGTTCTGCCAACTAGGAGTACAAATTTTTACTTAATCACATTTCTGTATTGTCCTTAGGGAACAATATGAGAGACATGAGAAATATTCAAATCTGTGAATAAAATTTAGATGGAGTATTTGGGAATTACTCCTTGGGAAGTGTTTTCCATGAAAGGATGAGGACCTAAATTTGAATCTCCAGTACCCATGTAAAAAAAATAGGCACAGTGGCAGGCATATAAAACTCTAGCACTGGAAGACCAAAAAATCTGATCCTGAGGGCTTGTTGACCATCAGTCTAGTGAAAATATTAAGGTTCAAGTTCAGTGAAAGACATTGTCTCAAAATATATGCTTAAGATCAAAAAAGGAAATGTTTGACTTTTATTTCTGGCCTCCACATGCAACTACACAGATATGCAACTATCCCATACACCACACACACACACACACACACACACACACGACAAAGAAATTAAGTCAGTTAAATTCAGCACATCAGAAAGCATCAATCACTCAGAACTATGATGTGACTAGAATACTCCAGAAATAAATGTTGGAGATGCAGACAAATGACATAGACACAGTTTCTGCCCCAACCAGCAGCACGTTGTATAGTCCATTGTGAAAACATTCTATTTATACACAATATTATAAAAAGTTATTATACATTTTACATATATATATCACATATTTATGATTATTTTAGCAAAAATTTAGTAACACTGTATGTCATAACAAAGTTTAGATATAATAGCATATAGTATAATAGCATATAAAAACATTAAAATAGTTTTATCAAACAATAATTGACAACATAAAATCAGTTATCATAGGGGCTTTAGATGGAAACAGAAGAAAATAATAGAAAATAAATCACATATTTTATAGGATAAAAAATAGATCTAAATGAGAATTTGAATTCTATGAATACCTCATAAAATATAAATAGACACCAAAGTTTCAATTTTTACAGAGGAAAATATGGAATACTTGTTACACAGCAATGTGAATGTATTTAGTATTGCTGCTTCTAAAGTTCAAAGTGTTTAAGATCACAATTTCTGTTTTCTTTCTCTTTTTTTACCAGAAAATAATTTATTGGAAAATTGACAAAAAAGATAAATACACATTTCATAGAAAATGGCATAAGTAGAATACCCAATAAACATATGATGGTAAGCATACTTCTGTAGCCATAAAGAAAATTATAATCACAGGGACTATCACTCTTTTAGTCACTACATTCACAAAATAACAGGCATCTCAAAAAGTAAAGTGTGGTAAAAAAGGTAGAACTTGGAACACATACAGCTACAATGTATTCCTAGTTGTTTCTTTTTAGGTAGCAACATGGTCATTGAGAAGAAATTCTTATTCTATCTGTACTTAACATTCCACACCAGAGTTTTTCCATGGAATTTTTAAAATAAATAATTTATTAAGAATTTCACACAAGTGTATAAAGTGTTTGATCGAATCCATGCCCACTCCCTCTCCTCCAACTCCTCCCATATCGCCCCATCATTTTTTTTTCTGATAACCTCATATACCCGAAACCTTCTTCAATTTATTTATTTTTTTATGGGGCTTTTGGCTACTCTAACATTCCCCACTATGTAGAGGTAACCCTAAGATCTATTAAGGATTACCTCTTAGATTAAAGCTCCCAAATATTTTTGGCATTTTTGGCCTTTGTAACAGAGTATGTTGCTAAGAGGACCAAGGACACTGTGAGTTTAAGCCAAGAAAGTGGCTACTTTTCTTTTGGGTCTTTTTACCTTAACTGCTTAGCCAAGGTCTACCTCTTATTCTTATCACACCATCCTTTGAAGAGGTTACCCAAATTGACCATAGGGAATCAGCAGGTTACCCAAATTGCCAATAGGGACACAGACCGCTCTGGCTTCTTCCATGATGAACAGGAGAAACACAGGGTTAGGCAATTGGGGTACCCCTTCAGTGGGTCTATCTAAAAGACTCCCAAATTGCATAACTCTTATCTCTATGGGGAAAAGAAAGTCCTTGAATCCCAAATAGGAGATGTGAAGGAGAAATAAAGGGCAAGAGTAATTAGCATTATAAGTTCTAGACAGGGAACTAGAAAAAAGTCAAAACAGGGCAATTTTCAAATGTTCATATGAGAGTCCATTGGAATTTCTTGACAAGGGCTTCCAAAAGCATCCCTCTATTGGGTTCCTCCACATTTTTCTTTTGTCTTCCAAGGCGGACTCTAGAGTGATGGATTCAGGATTTGCTTTCAGATATTTTGATAGCTGTTACAGTGGTTACACTCCGTATCAGTTCCCTCTCAAAGTCTTCTAGGTAGAGGAGAAAACAAATTTATCCACCATTTTATAACAATAGCTGGTTGGCTCCCTTAGCTACGGGTGGACACTACAGTACTAGAGACCAGGATATGAAGTCTTATACCTGAGCAGTACTTTCTGGTTAGGAACAAAATCATCAGTGAGAAACAATTGTCTAAATAACTTTTTATATAGACTTAAGCCTAATGTCTGGGAAATGTAATCCCTTGAACTCTTAAAGAAATATACTGAGGACTTTATCCTTTGGTTCTGCTTTTCTTTTGGGTGTTTAAGACCATACAGTTGGCCCAAATAAATCAATTTATCTTTACACATAAAGTCATTTGAGGATCTGTTCCTCAGGGGTCACATGAGCCTGGGAGGAGCACCTGGCTCCATTCTTTTACCAGTTCCATCTATGTGAAGATAAGTCAAAGGTCCTGCTCAACCATGTCTGGCTTCACTTAGAAGCATGAATGAGATGTTTCCTCTGAGTTGACCCTCCTCTTTGTAGACTAGACAGTGGTTCAAGTCCATCTCATGGGGTCTCCATGTCCTCCCTGAGCAAGAGGACAGGTGACTCACAACAGTTACAGGACATTTTGAGACATGTTCCATAGTCCCCTGTAACGTCTTTTACCTTGGATGACAAGGAGCAAAAACTGTCCTTTAAGTCCCTTTAACCACATTAATACATGCCTCAAACTATGGATGTTAAACATCCAATAAATTTACTTCCACTAGACTGGTACTTTTAATTATCATGTGCTATGTAGATAAGGCTTGGGTGAAAAACCAAATGTTCTCAGATAAACTTTGACTAGATGTATATTTAGTGCCTTAAACTAGTTGACTAAACTATGGCCATAGAAATTTTAAGATTATGCATATATTATTTTTGTCTAATCATTTATATATCATTACAAACTTACACAGACCTTTATAACTTGCTTAGGCTTTCTCATTTTTTTTTTATTTTGGAAAATATCTCCATTCTCAAATCCCTTTAACATCTTTTAAATTCTCATTTTCTTTTTTATTAAAAATAATTATGGGGCCAAGTGTGGTGGTGCACGCCTTTAATCCCAGCACTCGGGAGGCAGAGGCAGGCAGATCTCTGTGAGTTCAAGGCCAGCCTGGTCTATATAGTGAGTTCCAGGACAGCTGGAACTACAGGGAGATCCTGTCTCAAAAAGATCAAAAAAATATAATAATAATTATGAGACATAATAGCATTAACAAATAAATTTTCCATCTGTTGTGATACTTCTTTTCCTGGGGATGCTAATCAATGCTTATTCCCTGTAAAGATTCTCATGTCAAGCCAATGTTTGATTAAAGTTTTACTGGGGACTAATGAATTTATTGAGTTTACTTACCAAGATAACTGAGAGGTTGCTGAGGTGTATGTATGACCTGAGGATATGCATACTGGAAATAATTTACCCAACAAGAGTCATGCTCTGATTTTTGTTATTTCTTCTATGCTGCTGGGTTTCATTTTTTCTTGCCTTTCCAGTTTCTTGAGTTGCAATGTTAGGTCATTTATTTGAGCTCTCTCTAATTTTTTGATGCAGGCACTTAGAGCTTTAAACTTCCCTCTTAGGACTGTTTTTAATGTGTCCCAGAGGTTGTGTTGTATTGTATTGTCCTTTTCATTGAATTCCAGGAATTCTTTTATTTCTTTCATAATTTCTCCTTTGACCCATTCATTGTTTAGGAGTGTGTTTCTCAATCCGCATGAGTTTGTTAGTGACTAGGGCTTGGTCCGGTGTTGATTTTGAGCTTTATTGCATTGTGGTCTGATAGAATACACGAAATTATTTCAAATTTTTTGTGTTTGTTAAGGTTTGTTTTGTGGCCCAGTATGTGGTCAATTTTTGAAAAAGTTCCATGGGGTGCTGAAGAGAAAATGTATTCTTTGGTCTTGGGTGGAATATTTGCAAGATGTCTGTTAGATCCATTTGATTCAGACATCTCTCTGATTATTTTTTGTCCAGTTGACCTGTCTAATGGAGGCAGTGGGGTATTGAAGTCCCCTACTATTACTGAGTTGGGGATAATCTGTGTCTTAATGTCCTGTATTTTTGGTTTATGAATTTGGGTGCTCCAGAGTTTGGTGCATATATGTTAAGGATTGTAATATCTTCTTGTTTAACTGTTCCTTTGATCAGAATGAAATGACTCTCCTTATCTCTTCTGATGAGCTTTACTTTGAAATCTATTTTGTCAGATATTAGAATTGCAACTTCTTCTTGTTTCTTAGTGATATTTGCTTGGAATATTCTTTTCCATCCTTTTACCTTAAGGTAGTGCCTGTCCTTGAAGGTTAGATAGGTTTCTTGCAGACAGCAAAGAGATTGATTTTGTTTCTTAATCCATTCACTTAGCCTGTGTCTTTTTGACTGGGGAGTTCAGTCCATTGATATTTATTATTGAAAGATGTGTATTGTTGCCATCATTTTGATTGCTGTTTATGTTCTCTAATTTTGCATTTCCTCAATTATACCTTCATTTGTTTTCTTTCATTGCCCCTGGGATATAGTTGTTTCTCTCTCTGCTGTCTGTATTGCTTAAAGTATTCTTTGAAGGACTGGTGTTATGGGCATGTGTTCTATAGGCCATTCATGTCATGGAAGGTTTTTCTTTCCCCCTCAACTATAATAGACATTTTTGCTGGGTAAAGTATTCTGGGCTGGCATCTATTGTCAAGTAGAGCTGCAAATACCTTGGTCTAGGCTCTTCTGGCTTTCCTAGTGTGCATTGATAAATCAGCTGTAATTCTGATGGGCTTTCTTTGTATGTGACTTTTTTTTCTTTTGCTGCATTCAGTATTCTCTTTTTGTTCTGTACATTTAATGTTTTTACTATGATATGTCATGGGGAATTTCTCTTCTTATACAATTTGGTGTTCTATGTGCTTCCTATATTTGTATGGAGTGTCTTTCCTTAATTTCAGGAAATTGTCTTCTACAGTCCTGTTTATGATTTGGTCAATACTATTAATCTGAAATTCTTCTCCTTCCTCTATTCCTATGATCTGTAGAATTGGTCTTTTCATGGTGTCCCACATCTCTTGCGTATTCCATTCCTGTGTTTTTTCAATTTTCCATAATCTTTGCTTGAGTGGTACAGTTCTTCAGTTTTATCCTCCAGTGTTGATATTCTGTTTTCCATTTCATTCATTCTAGCAGTGAGGCTTTCCCCTGTTGTTTCAAGTTGGATTATTGAGTTTTGGACTTCCTTCTTCAGTTCTGCCTGAGATTTCTTCAATGTTTTTCTCTCTTTTGTGAATTCATTCAGAAGTTTATCCCTACCTTTTATTAGTTCTTTGATTTGTTTGTGTGCTCTTTAAATTTAATTCCTTTATCATGTTTATGATTGTTCTTTTAAATTTAGTGTCCTGGGTCACCTCTAGGGGGTTCTCCTTGTAGAACGCTTCTCCAGGATTGGTGGAATTTGGTGGGGACTTAGTATTTTGGCTTTCCATTTTACTATTCTTTCATTGTGATTTTGGCATGTGAATTTCTTTTGTTGTTTATGATTCTGATATGAGAGTTAAGTTGAAGTATGCTTCTGCTTGCATTTTCCAGGTGCCTAGATCCTTTCTTTATTTGTTATGTAAAGCTGTTTGGTACAGGGTTTAGGTTCTCTCTGATTTAATTTGGAGGGAACTGATGGCTTCAGATTCAGGAGAACCCAGAGAAACCCAATTCCAGTTCCATTCAGGTACACTCAGGCTTCCTTCATCAAGTGGAGGCAGGATCCAGGCACTGTCAAGCAGTCCCCTGCTTTCTCAGCCCCTATGGCAGAGGGAGGCCAGAGGGAGGCCAGAACTCAACACTCTGGCAGTCTGCTGAGGTGAGAGCTGCTACACTGATAGAGGTTGGAGCCCACCTTCTCAGGCTGTCTGCTTGGATTTCAGCCTTAGCCTATCAAAGCCAAATCTGCCCTGGGGCCTTCAGAGGGGCCTCATGAAATTCCAGGCAGGGGAATGGTTATGGCATGATTAAGGGAAGCTCACCACCACAAGGAGGCAGAATTCAGGGGCTCTCAGGCAGTCCGTTGCATTCTCAGCCCCTATGTCAGAGGGAGGCCTGAGGGAGGCCAGAATTCAGCACTCACAATTCCTGTTTTCTGTGTTTCGTCACCACTAATCTAACAATTTCTAATAAAACTCAATTATTTTTTCCTAGCTTTTTTCATAACAATTCCAATAATGTTTTTTCTGTTCATGTTTTGTGATGAAATAAAATCTGTGTTCACAGGAGATGGAAGAGTTTGTCCAGAGCTCTGGAGAAGATGGTATTGTCATATTCTCTCTGGGGTCAATGGTCAGGAACATGACAGAAGAAAAGGCAAACATAATTGCATCAGCCCTTGCACAGATCCCACAAAAGGTGAGGTAAATTGTCCCATGGAAGGCCACTACTTACCAAGTCTGTTAAAGTCTGTGAAGTGTCTGATTACTGAATTTTCCTGTGTAAAAGATCAGTGTAAGAGCACTGTAATTAATCTTAGCCAATTTAGAAATGAAAATAGACATGCCAGATGCTTCAATAATATAGAAGGTGTTTTTGACTGACAAAAACATTGGCATAAACATTGTGATCACTTTGGGTAACCACAGTCTGAAATCTGAGAATTAGGATGAAATTATTTGGAAGAGAAAAGTACAAAAAAATAATCAAATTCTGCCCAGTTCCTTGCTTCATTTTCTTGATTGTTAAAGAAATGCACACAATATAGACATTTAATGAAGGAGTTAATTTTTATTCAATAACTTCATAAACACAGTAGCTTTAAGCAGGTGTTAGGAAAAGTTTAAAATGTGCCATGCAATGTAAGAATTCCATGCAGATGTTGAGTTTTTATACTAATTTTGAACTAGGCCTGTTCAGGATTCAGAAAAACTCATATAGAGAAAGGGAGACCAAAGCACAATCCTCAATCTAAGAGAATAAAGAGAAAAATGAATCTAGTCTAGAAAGATGGCTCAGCTGTTAAGACTATTTGTTACTCTTGCAGAGGACCCAGGTTTACTTCCCAGCACCCACATAGTGCTAACAACTCCAGTTCCATGGGATCCTATGCCTCTTCTGACCTCCACAGGTATTGCACAACAGAGATGCACTTACACACATGCAGGCAAAACATTCATACAAAAAAAAAATTAAAAGAAAAAAGAATCAGCCCTTCTGGACTGTGTCCTGCTTGTTTAGAAGCTGTAAAAAGGAGGAGATGGGCCCAATATTTACAATGAATGCCAGGAATAATAAACATGCCACAGGACTCTGGTTCTAAGCAGCCAGAAAGGAAAATGAAGTAATATAGTGTCCAAGACAGTCTAATGTGGGAACACTTTCAGATGTCTCATTTCATAAAGTATATGTTAAACTCATTTTCTACAAACATTTTTTTAATTTTATTTTCTATTGAAATTTTGTGATTTTTATACAATACAGTTTGATGATATTTAGATCTCCATGCATCTTCACACAATACAAACAAAAATTTGATCTTTGAGTATTTATGAATGTTGTTTTAGTTTTTTTCCAAAAAAAAGTCTTCCTGTAATCACTGATACTAATTTTCACTGAGACCCTGAAGTTAATTTTAGTAGCCACTAACAAACAGGTCTCAAATATATGGATATTTCTCCAGTTTATCAGACTTGTTTGAGTTTTCTTAAATTAGTACCACTTAGTATACATTTTGTTAGTTGAACTAAATGTTGCATCTTTGGAATTTAGGAGGGAGGGATTCAAAAGTCATATTATTTACGAACAGTAAGTTCTCAATGACGAACTTCAAAACATTCACTGGAGAGGTTAATATGCTCTGCTATAGCCAAACCAGTTCCAAGCATAGGCCCCAAGTCAGGTACTAACTATATAAATCCCAAACACACCCCTTAAATTAGAGCATCATCCTCATGTTCAACATTTATTTGCTGCATTTAAAGAATTCTTGGTGCTAGAATCTTGGCTCCATGGGTAAAGTGCACAGAGCAAGTGTGAGCACCTAAGTTCAAATCTGTAGAACCCACATAGAGTCAGACATGGTACTGTATGTATCTTGAATTCCAGATCTCCTATGCAGAGAAGGCAGGTGGAGACAAGAATCCATGGAAGTTGGTGGAGCAGCAGTAGAATCAGAGACCCTGTCTCCAGCAGGAGCAAAGACCAGAACTCACACCTGAAGCTGTGTTCTCAGTTCCACACACTCACCTTGGCACAGGCAAACCTGTCATCTCACACAGAACTGGGCTCACATACATGCAAAAACATAACACAAATCAACACACACACACACACACACAAATGCAGATTTTTAGAAGTTGCCAATCTTAGTGATAATGCCAAGCTGTTGATTCATGTTGAACATTCTACTTGCAATTTTTCCTAGAATTGGCAACTAATAATTTATATATCTACATGAAATGTCTTATAATCCCTGAATAAATTGATTTCTCATATAAAGGTGATGATTGCTTAGATTTGAATTCTTATAAATCAAGAAATGCCAATTGTTGTGGTCACACTCATTATTGAAGCAGAAAAAGCAGTCTCAATGTGTAGAACAATACAGGCAAGTTTCTGTGTCTGCTTGTGGGCCATAAATGCTCTACAAAGAACCAAGTATCCATACGGGTAAACATGGGTGAGGAGGACCCAAAATATTTAATGACTGGTTTTAAAACCTAACCCATTCAAGATTATTCCCAGGATGGATGAGTGAGATGAATCTATTACCCACTGGCTAACATGATGACATCTCAAATAACTCCTGACCTGAGAGAATTGTAGATATGAAATATTTGTCATAAATAGATAATGAAAGACAAAAACAAATACCGAACTTTATTAAAATAACATAGAACACGTGAATATAAGTAAACTCTAAAGTAATTTAAAAATACAGTGATAACTGCAAATTTATAGCTATTATAATGCTTGTAAAAATCACTAGTAGCATGTCACTCTTTTCTACAATTAAATTATGATACCATAGCAACTTAATAATGATTTCATGCATCATTAATTATCTAATTT